ACACACACACACACACTCTCTCTCTCTCTCTCTCTGTCTCTCTCTCTCAGTGGTGTACGACACCATACTCGACGTGCTTCCACAGTTTGCGCCAAAGTCTCCTTAAATCCTACATCTTAACACACGGTCCCAGTTGTCGGATTCACTTACCTATCAAATTATGCCAGAAACCCCCCCCTAATCACAGAAACGGCTCACGATAGAAACGGGACCATCTGGGAGAAAGAGGCCAGCGATGACACTGGATTGACATCGTGTCTATGAGGATTAAGCAGTCCAATCGTCGGCTAGTTACTCGGCCCTTCGGATATCAGCAGACTTGTATTTCGAGAGGAGTAGCTAATTCGGAGGAGAGCGAACTATCTCCTAAAGTAAATACTGAACCGCAGCAGGCATGACCCCTTTGGTAGAGTGTCGTGTTCCGTGTTAATAATAAAAGCACATCTGGCTCAAACGAGAGTCAATTTTCTTCTGGTTTTCAAGGTAAGGTCGCTTTTCCATTACTGAATAAAAACTTAAGTTTTTAGTCATGAGAGTTTTACGGCACTTGCAACACAATAAGGGCCAAACAAGTGTCGACGGATAGAGGTGTTACAAGAGAGTATCATACACACAAAAAGAAGGAAGAGATATAAGGACAATAGATCTTTGACAGGAAGGAAGGAGCAATATTTGAGTACCCACCAACCACCCACACTGAGAAATTGTATTTTTACCGCCAAGGTATCTAATTTGAGGGCAAAACCTTTGGTGGATCATTGACGGTTAAAAGCAATGAAGAAGCCGGCAAAGGTAGTTCTTGTGAAAGTATCTGAGTTTTCAACTGAAAAAAAAAACTACAGGACTGCAAACAATTCTCTCTCTCTCTCTCTCTCTCTCTCTCACACACACACACACACACACACACACACACACACACACACACACACACACACACAAAACAAACACATTTACGCATTCCCGTGCTAGGGCACGGAGACCGAGTCAGACAAGGGGAGGGCAGAGATATAGGGAGATAGGGAGGAGAGAGAGAGAGAGAGAGAGAGAGAGAGAAGGAGTATGATATGTGAGTGTCAGGAACAGGGAGGCAAAAGCAAGACTTGTGAGTACCTGCAGTGGTTAAGAATTTGATAAACAGAGGTTTGAAGGAGTGACAAGCAATGTTTTTACAACGGCTCTTAAGATGGCTGACCACTGGCGAGTGTTCTTGAGGAATTCCCTCTCTACAACCAGAGAACAAGCTGTCAAGGTCTACGGTACTTGCAATTAATGGCTTTTTAAAACCTTCGCGTCTTTCATTGGCCTGTCTTGAGCTTTAAATCCCTCATCTTTATTTGTATGAGATTTTTTGGAATAACAGGATTACTTGTTATTTCTAAACTAAGAAACGACACTGCATGCAGCCCTCAATCATGTTTAAGTACGATTGACTGCGCAAAAGACCAGGAACAACCTGTCTTGACGGACTGGTCAGCGGGGGGCATTGACCAGAAGAAAACTAAGAACTGTTGGAAGAGTCCTGCCAAGAGGCCACGATAACTGTTGACGGACGGTGTTCTGTGAAAGGTGTTAGAATCAGTCCACTGGCCTTTGCCCACGTGTTTGGCTGATCCGTAAGGCGATTAGTTAGTTATGGAAAAATAGATTGAACGCGACGGAGGGGAATGGATACTGTGGTCAGGACTTACGATATTTTCTTTTTGTCCTTGACTGATTCGATCAAGGCGTTAGCATTGTGTGGAGAAAAGGATTAACTCGCTGGTTTGGTCTCTGTGTGAATTCGTTTGTCTTTCTGAGTGTTCGCTATCGCTCCTTTTTATTTGTTTCCCCGGCGGTCTATTTATCTATCTATCTATCTATCTATCTATCTATCTATCTATCTATCTATCTATCTAT